TTCTCACCCTGACCACATTTTTGCCCCGCGGGATACCAGATATGCGACACTCTCCTGCTGCACGCCCATGGGGGCAATGCGCGATCTCCAGCTCATCCCGCACGCCGACCCGAAGGATCACGCCCCCTTGCTCTGGCGCCTGAAGTACCGCCTCCATTACCAGGACGACCGCGATGGCGACCCGACCTGGGATTACGATAGACTGGCGGGACTGGCTGCACCGAGAGGGGACCATGACCTCATCGGGGAACTGGAACGCCTCTGCGAGAACAATGCGGCCGTGTGGCGCGGCATTTCCAGAAAGGACGACCCCTCCGAGGCGTGGCAGTCACTTGTCTCTGACGTTCGAGAGGCCGCCCTGCCCCTTTTCCAGCGCGGTGCATTACCTGGCCCGACCACCGAGCACGCCCAACAACGGCAGGTGCTCCTCGAACGCCGACGAGATCTTGGCAGGCAATGCAGGACGGAGACCGACAGGCTCGCCATCAGAGCCTGCGACCGTGAGATCAAGCGCATCAAGCGCAGACTTGACACCCAACACGTCGAGCAGTTACTAAGGGGTGCCACCGCCGCCGCGGAGCGGGGGCATACTACGGCAGTCTGGAAGCTTGCGTGCCAGATTTGCGGCAGATACCATGGCGTGAGGAACCGACGTTTCAATGCGATACCGCACTACCTCCCCTCTTTAGATGAGTGGACGGAGACGCTACTGGCGGGGGCGGCAGAAGGAGGCTTCTCGGCAGTGCAGGCCCCCGAGCCCGAATTTCCCGCGGAGATCGCCCTGGCGCTGCGGGAGCAGAACGACCTTGATGTCACGTGGAAGGACCTACGTGGACACCCTGCAGCGACTGCCTGCGACGACTGGACCGACGCGCTGAGGTGCCTTCGACAGGCGGCCCGCAGGCGCTACGCCCCGCCCCATTCCGCGCCCGCCGAGCTCTGGTACGCCATCCGCAGGGCGGCCAGCATAGAGGCGCGAGGGGACCCGACAGGTGTCCCTGATGTCAGAGATCGACCTGACAGGCCAAGTCGAGTACCGCGCGTGCACTGCCCGCGCCTGGCGGAGCGCCTGGGGGCTCTCTTTCGCCAGATTCGCACGGCCTGCCGCTCGCCGTCCTGGTGGCACTGGTCGCGGACTTTCCAACTTCCCAAAGGCATGGATAAGGTCGGGACGAAGGCGATGCGTCTGATCCACTGCTACTGCCCCTTCGGCAAAGCCTGGTACCGTGGGGTTTTCATCAGGCACCGCCGTCCGCCGCTGCCGCATCATTCTCATGGGCATGCCCGTCGTCGATCGAGGCAGGGCGCGCAGCTGGTCTCTAAGCTACATACGTGAAGATTTCGACGTCTTCGGGTCAACCACCTCCAACTCAAGAAGGACATGACCAACGCCTTCCCCTCCGCGTCCCACGACGTTTTGGAAGGGGTGGTGGGCCAGATCGTTCCAGACATGCAGGACCAGCTGTTCCTCGAGCAGCGCCACGCCGAGGCGGTCATGGAGGTGCGAGCGGATGGCGCACGAGGCTTCTATGTGCCCAGGCATGGCGCAGGCATGGGCGACGGCGGCGCCTGCGAACTTTTTGTTAGATCATGCGTGCGACCTTTGGATGACTGGAACCGGGAGCTCCTCGCTACCAGAATGGATTCCTTTCGCCTCCAGGACGGCTCCGCAGTCCCGCTGATGGAGGCCGCCACCCTCATTTCCTGCCCGTGCCCGGGGCAGCTCGTGGATTTGTCTTTACGAGACTATGCTGATGATGTTTCGCAGACGTTTCCAGTGCCAGATTGCAATCCTTTTCGGGCCGCGGAGATGGCCAAGCAGTCCCCCGACCTTTTGGCGGCCAAGCTCAGAGCCCAAGGCGGCTTCACACAGAATGCTTCCAAGGAGCTCATTATGCATGTTTTCGTGGGCCCTGGAGGGTGCACGGCCACCCGTGCCGCCCTTTCGGGACTCGTTTCCTTCCCTGGGCAGCCCAAGGCCCCGGCGGCCTACCTCGGAGGTCTCGAGCAGCTCACTCGAGGCGCGGAGGCGGAGGTTCGAGTCAGGATTGATGCCGCGCGGTCGGCGCGGTGCAAACTGGGTCGTTTCTGGAAGCAACATGTTTCGCTCAGGCTTAAAAGGATGGCTTTCCTGGGTGTTCTGCAGAGTGCGGCCTACGCGGGCCTGGAGACCTACCTTCTGACCAAACGGGACTACGCCAAACTGGGCGCCGTCCTCTTGGGTTTCGCGAAGGTCGCACTTCGGGGAGTTGCTAGACGCACAGATGTCGAGGGGGTAGAGCAGATTCGAGTTCCACACGCCTGGCAGGTCCACAAGCGCCTGCGCATCGCCGACGCTCGCACCGAGCTCCTCGTACGCAGGCTGAGGTACTGGCAACAACTCGCCAAGTACCCCGAGGCTTCTGTGCAAGCTGTCGTTGCGCTGCTTGGGGACTTTGAGGCGCTGACGGAGGCGCCCGTATTCACCGAGACGGGATGGATAGACAAAAACGCGAACCCGTGGGCCCTCCAACTGCAGAAAGACATACTCACCCTCAGGCTCCTCCCCAAGGGCAAGCTCTTCTTGGATCAGGGTCACTCGAGTAGGACTATCTTTACTCAGCATCGTGTTGCGGCTTTCTTCGCTGGTCTGGACCCCGCTGGGCTCCGCAAGGTGTATTGGGGCCAGGCCTCCTCGCGACCGATGGTGCCTCCGCAGAATCTCTCGGCCCCTGAGGCTCCACCAGTACCCGAACCACGTCAAGAATATGGGTGTGAACTACCTCTTGAAAATGGGGAACCCTGTAGCAGTGTGTTTGTCTCCAAGGCGGCTCTCAAGGCCCATAAATGTCATCATCCTGCTCATAGATGCCGAGTGCCTATCCATCAGTTGGTCGTCACTAGCCAGTGTTTCTACTGCTCATCGACCTTTTCCGCGGATGTACTGGCGAAACGACGCATCGTGCAGTCGGTGAAGATGAAACGGTGCATCGCCGACTATAGCCCCTTCTCGCCCGCCCTGAGAGCCCCCGAGGTAGTGTTCTGCCCTGTCTGCTTAGACCCCGAAGTTGTGCATCCAGTCCATCGTACGAGGCTCCTCCGCACCGACGCCGTCAGGGCTCAAGGCGAGTTCCCGAGCTTGGAGGCCCTCCAGCGTCACATCAGAGAGGCCCACGCTCCCCCTGCCCCTGAGATCCACTTCGATGTCGAACCTCGCGGAGCGTGCGCTGAGCATTGGGACCGAAGAAAGACAGAGAGAGCTGAGAGGACGCCAGCGAGGAGAGGGATATCGCACCCGCAGCAACGAGCGAGGAGCGCCCCGTCGTTCACGGAGAGGAGGAGGCCAAGGGGCGGCGCCATCGCAGGCACCAGCAGCCGCCGCAGCAGCCGCGGCTGGGCCAGCCCCCATGTTTTGGGGCGCCACCGACACGCACTTCGGGTTGGCCCGTCAGGACGTCGCCAACCTGCAGCGAATGCCGATCGAGTGGGTCCAGGCCGTCGTGCCCGTCCTGATGAGGATGTCTCTCAGACACGAACAGGGCTTGAACCAGCTCGAGGCCGCCAGCTACCGACACGTGCAGATGCCCACCAAGCACGACGTGGTCCAGTCGATGCAGCTGGCCGCGAAGTACTACGGCACAGAGGCCGCCATGATCAGGAAGGAGAAACGCGAGCAGCTGGAGTCGGGCCAGACGGTCGACGAGCTGGTGGCCCTGGGCATCCCTCACCCGCACGTGTGGATGGCGCCGGTGGGCGCCCTCGTCGCGCAGGGAGAAAAATAGGTCAGCAGAACCTGGCGGCACTCATACAGTACCAGCAGAAGGTCAAGCAGGAGCGCCCGACCAACAGCAACCTCGCGGACGACATGCGCCACTGTCGCATGCAAAGCACACACGACGGAGAGATGACGAAGATCTGGACCGCAGTGGGCCCGCCGACGGTCGAGAATACGGTGGTCAGTTCCTTGGTGCAGCTGGGGGGAGTGCACAGGCATGGCGCGCCCCCGAGGAGTCACAATGCCCGCCTGCTCCAGCTGCACCTCGACGGGATGTGATTGCACACAGGGAGGCCATGGATACTACCACCCCCTCGAGGCCGATGTGGGCACAACGGATCCAGAGGACCTCGGCGAGTCTGCGGCCTCGGGGATCCCAGAGAGTACCTCCTTCCTCGATCCAGACTACGACTCCGTCTACTTCTGCGCCCCCGACCCAGAGGAGGCCTGAGCCCCCAGTGAGGCCCAGTGAGCCCAGAGAATCTAGAGCAGGTCAGTATAACCCCACCTCTTCGTCTGAGACTCCCCTCCCTCTTTCGACTATCCTGAACCTTCTGGGCCTTCAGCGCTGGCGTCCCGCTATTAGTGTGGGGTGCGGGGCCTTGGCGCCCTGGTTTTAGTGGTTCCTCGGGCGTCTTGGTCTTTCCCTCGCGGCTCCAGCGAGCCTGCATCCTCGGGCGTCCTTGGGACCTGTGAGGTGTCTTTCTTGAGTTTCTTTTCTCCCGCGTTTACAGCCCCGCCCCTTCGGCCTGCCGGTCTTTAAAACGTGGCAATCCAGCCGTTGAAGGGGGTGGGTGGGAGCTTTGGTGCCTTCGAGGCCACGCGCGGCCTGGGTTGCGAGCCGCGGCGCACTCTAGAGAGGAGACCAGCGAAGGCCAGCGTTCCGAACTGTTGCTAGTTGTTGGCGCCTCTCTGTAGAGCTTCACACACACACACTCCTCCTCCTCCTGTTGCTCCTCCCCCGTCCTTCTCGCACCGCGCTCTCGCGCTGCACTTCCTCTAGCCCGGATAAATCGGCGCCAAGGCGCCACCGCTCCGCCCCTCTAGTGGGACCGCGCCCCGGCGCCATGGGAGCGTCCGTCCGTCGGTCTGTCCGTCCGTCCGTCCTCGGCCTCCTCCTCCTCCTCCTCCTCCTCCTCCTCCTCCTCCTCCTCCTCCTCCTCCTCCTCCTCCTAGCGCTCTAGATTGAAAGATCATGCCGTCGGATGTCTGGGCGGTGCCCTGTCTCAACCCCCTTCGGCAAAAGGTCTCCCGCGCCGACCTCGTGGCGCAGTACACCGGCCAGACCGCGCCCAAGGTGGAGGCGGTGGTGACCTCGGGGCTCGGCGGCGTCCTCTTCATCGACGAGGCGGCCTCGCCGAGCCCCCCCCCGCCGCTGGCCGCTTCCGCTTCGGGGCACGACTCTTGGTTTGCATTAAGTCGGGCATGTCCCTCCACAGGGGGAATATTCAAAACTTGTCAAACTAGCCTCGGCTCCGCTCCACGGCTGCGCCGGTTGACTGCTGCTCTCCTCTCTCCACCGGGTGCGTGCTGGAAGTGTCCCGCACCTTCCGTGCATGTCTGTGCTCACCGGATTTCAGGCGCTGATGTCTCAACTCTTTGTTTGTACGGTTTTGCAGATCGGAGCGTTTTCGTGTTTCAAAACGGTGTCCCCGCTGCAGCGTCCAACTCACTTCTCATGTTATCATGTTCCTACCTACTTTAGCCTGGATCACCAGGAAGGATTTCGAGCCCCAAAAAAGAACCGAAACTCGAGGGTTTTCACGTGGCGGGCCCTGGGAGACACTCGTTCGGCATTGTTTCGACACTGCTTCGACACCTTCTCGACACTTTTCCGGGTGCTCGAAATTACTTTTGGGACGTGGTCCTTAAGTACGATGGACAACCTAATTCTCATTTCAAGATAGGCGCTGTGCTCCCGTCGTTCAGGATGGCGTTCTTGCCTCAGCGAGGTCCGCACGTCTGGATCCCGAGCGCTTCTGCGTCTTTGTCGCCCCCTTCTTTTCCCGCTCCCCGCCACCTTCCGTGGTCCTTCCGCTCCTTCGCCTGCTCCTTCACCTGCTCCTCCTCCTTTTCCTCCTCCTCCCCCTCCTCCGCCTCCTCCTTCTCCTCTTGTCCTCCGCCTCCTTCTCCTCCATTCCTGCTTTTCCTCCTCCGCCTCCTCCTCCTCCGTACACAGGTTTCCTTTTCATTTCGCGCATTGCACGATCGGGCCCTCCTGGAGGTTCCGGGTCTGCTACGATATGGCGCCCCTCGGCGGACAGGTAGCACTTCAGCGCATCTGGGAAGGGATGGGCTGGAGGGGTACGATGTCAGATCTGGCGTAAGCGCGCCTTTTTGTTTGTTTTATGTTTCTCTCTCTCTCTCTCGCTTCCCTCTGTTCCCTCCCCCGTCCTCCCCCCTCTCTCCCTTCGCCTCGCGCCCCTCGGGCCCTCGCCCCCCGTCAGCCCCGCCCTCCACCCCCCTGTGTCTTGGTATCGCTCGGACGTGTGCCTTTTTTCTCCGCGGGGATAACGGAGGAGCATCCTGGATCATTCTGGCAAAAAACGACGCACGACACAGGCAAAAAACACAAGGAATGGACGTCCGAGCCACGGGGAGGTGTTGTCGTCCAGGTTTTTTCTGTTCGGATTGCCCAGAGCACCTGGGTGGAGCTTAGTCCTCTCAGTTTATATATATAGAGGGGGCCAGCCCAAGGTGGTGCTGGGGAGCGAGCCCAGCTTGAGACTGATGTCTCCCTTCTCCAGGGGCCGTGCGGCGCGATTTTCCTCCGATCCCACCTCTGAGCCCCCCCGGACTTCCTGTTTGGCACCCCTTCCCCAATGCTTTGCCCAAGAGGCCCCAGCCCTGCTTCTCTGCAAGAGGGCCAGCGGCAATGTCACCAGCGCGAAGCGGGGCACCCCGGGGATGCACCACATCGGGCTCTTCATGGGAGCCCTGCCCTTCCCATGTCTTCGACGAGCTCCACCCCTGAAGAGCGGCGCGGTGCCATGCCATGCGGCGCTGTGCAGTGCAGGCGTGAAGCACTGCACGGCGGTGCCAAGCAGCGCAAGCCCAAGCAGCGCAACATAGCCACCAATTGCAGGTCAGTGCGAAACAGAGCGCCCCAGTGCAGTGTGAAGCACTGCCAGGTAGTCCAAGACAGAGCAGTGCAGGGCAAGGCAAGCCAACTCGGTTCAAACACCACGAAGGATAGTAATGCAAACCCATCGCAACGCAATGCAACGAACGTAACGGAGCGCATTGCAATGCGATTCAGCGCAGAGTACAGCAGGCCAAGCCAGCGCCTCACACAACATCGCAGCATGTGACCAACGTATCCAGCTTGGTTTTAGCGTGTTGGGTACCTCGTTTGCTCATAGGAGGGAGCCTTGCTTTTCTGCAGCCTGGTCTTAACGGGGTAAGAGCCTAGAAATAACGGATCAGGGATGCTCTTTGCCAGGGTTGGCCGAGCGCGGTCCAGAGAATTGGATAACCGATACATGGGAGAGGGGCGGGCCAGTTTTGAGCGGAGTTCTGCCAGGAGAAATAAGCCATAGGGTTTCGTCTGGAGCGCGAGTGGCTTCTTTCCAGCTCCCCGCAGCAGTCACATCTGATATTGGTTCGGATGCAGCGCATGGGAGGTCCAATTCGGATTTTGTCCTGGTCCGAAATCCTGTTCAATCCGGTTGAATCCCGCTTAATCTTGCTTAATCCCGCTGAATCCCGCTCCATCCGCGGCCTAATCTGGCGTAGCAGCCTCCCATTGGGGCTGAATTTGCTTTAATCTTTCCGGCGAATGCCTCCCAGTAGTTGCCCCCCCCTCTCTTGTAGCCATGGGAAGCAGCGCACCATTCTGCGGAGTCTCTTGGGCTGCACGGCCTAGGACGCTGCCTGTGGCATGAAATATTCGTTGTGCCGTGCCGTCTGCGAGCCCGCATCTGGCTCCGGCGTTTTGCCGCCTTGGACGGGCCGACTTTCCACCACCACCACCATGGGCAGGAAAGGGAGGAGGAGGAGCAGGAGATCAGGAGATCAGGAGCCTGAGGGTGCCGTTTGACCAGCAAACAGCGCCTCGGGGGACATCAGACGAGGTCGAAGGCCAGGCCGAACGACACGACGACCGGGAGGAGGAGAGGAGGATGGCCTCCCCTGCCCTCCCCTCTCCCCCGTCCTGCACATGGCAGCGTCGTGGTGGAGAAGTGGCCCACTCACCTTCGTGTGCGGGGCGAAGGGGCAGGAGGGGGGAGGAGGAGGAGCAGGAGGGGGGAGGAGGAGAGGAGGAGGGGGTTGTCGTGCTTATTCATGTCGAGGGTGGCAATTCGTGGGGAATGGGCTCTGGTTTGTGCAGTATCACAGGCAGATGCTAAATAAGGAGGTGTCTCAGCTCCGTGTCATCGCGGTCCGCTTCCCAGACACGTTCTGCCGTGTGGTTTCGTTCGGCATCTTCGTGGAGTAGGGAGTGGTCTCGATCTCTTCTGAGGCATGAACGTTGCAGTCAAAAAAAAGGAGAGGAGGAGGACCTCCCCTGCCCTCCCCTCTCCCCCGTCCTGCACATGGCAGCGTCGTGGTGGAGAGCTGGCCCACTCACCTTCGTGTGCGGGGCGGAGGCGCAGGAGGGGGGAGGAGGAGGAGCAGGAGGGGGGAGGAGGAGAGGAGGAGGACCCCCCCTGCCCTCCCCTCTCCCCCGTCCTGCACATGGCAGCGTCGTGGTGGAGAAGGGGCCCACTCACCTTCGTGTGCGGGGCGGAGGAGCAGGAGGGGGGAGGAGGAGGAGCAGGAGGGGGGAGGAGGAGAGGAGGAGGAGGGGAGGAGGGGGAGGAGGAGAGGAGGAGCAGGAGGAGCAGTAGGGGGGAGGGGGGAGGAGGAGGAGCAGGAGGGGGGAGGGAGAGAGGGGGACCTCCCCTGCCCTCCCCTCTCCCCCGTCCTGCACATGGCCCATGGCAGCGTCGTGGTTGGAGAAGGGGCCCTCTCACCTTCGTGCGCGGGGCGGAGGAGCAGGAGGGAGGAGGAGGAGGAGCAGGAGGGGGGAGGAGGAGAGGAGGAGGAGAGGAGGAGGAGCAGGAGGGGGGAGGAGGAGTAGGAGGGGGGAGGAGGAGGTGGAGAGGAGGAGGACCTCCCCTGTCCTCCCCTCTCCCCCGTCCTGCACACGGCAGCGTCGTGGTTGGAGAAGTGGCCCACTCACCTTCGTGTGCGGGGCGGCCTCCCCGTGCGGCGCCCGGGGCGCGCCGCGCGAGAGCCTTGCCCCCCCCCCCCCCCACCCCTCCCCCCCAGGAGGGAGAGAGGGAGGGAGAGGGAGGAGGGAGAGGGAGGAGGAGGAGGGGGAGGAGGAGAGAGGAGGGGAGGAGGAGGAGGAGGAGGAGGGGGGGGAGGAGGAGGGGGAGGAGGAGGGGAGGAGGAGGGGAGGGGGAGGAGGAGGGAGGGGAGGAGGAGGAGGAGGAGGAGGAGGGAGGAGGAGGAGGGCGAGGAGGAGGAGGAGGAGGAGGAGGAGGAGGAGGAGGAGGAGGAGGAGGGCGAGGAGGAGGAGGAGGAGGGAGGAGGAGGAGGAGGGCGAGGAGGAGGAGAAGGAGGAGGAGGCGGGCGCGGGGGGCTGCGCGGGCCGCCCGCGGGGGAGGGGGCCTCGCGGCGCGGAGGCGTACGCCATCGTTCGCGACGCCAAGGACAATTTCGGGCAGGAGGCGGTGGACACGCTGATCAAGGACGCGCCGGCCCCGCTGCCCGGGGCTTGTCGGGTCCGGCAGGCGGGCGGGGAGGAGGAAGAGGAGGAGGAGGAGGAGGAGGAGGACGAGGAGGAGGAGGAGGAGGAGGAGGAGGAGGGTCTCCCCAGCCCGACGGACAGCAAGCGACGCGGAGGCGACGCGGACAGCCCGGCGGGCGGTTCTGGGGCGACGCGGAGGCGTGCACGTGCACGAAGTCGCCCGGGTTTCGACACGCGAGGCTTCGTGACGAGAGGGCGGCCTCGCGATCCGAGGGGGGCATCTTCATGTACCAGGCTTCGCGCGTACGTATTTTTTTGTTGGGGCTTCCCTAGACCGGCGAAGCGAGCGAGGAAGGGAGCGCGCGTCCATACTCCTCGAGCCTCAAGCGTTAGTTCTGGGCGCCTGCAAGTTGCCAGATAGTGTTCCACATGGTTCCACGAGACGCGTCGCGGGTCCTCGTCGTTTTGTTCGGGCAGGGACGGCCGGAGCCAAGAACAGCAGTGGGGCTGGGAAGGGAGCGGGAGGAAGAGAACGGCAGGAATGATAATGGGCACGGTGGCGTCGAACGACACCGTGCACTCGCCTCGGGTGAGACCTGTCGACGTACCCATCGCGCTGGACTTCCACGTCTTCGCCCTCCTGCTCTCCTCCTCCTCATTCCTCCTCCTTCTCCTCCTTCTCCGCCGCTTCGTGGATATCAGCGACTCCTTGACGCTTTTCTGGATGCCCACCAGCCCATCCAGACGCTATCCCCAGGCGAGCTGTTGGGAGAGGGGGCGCAGGTACGCTGGAGCACCCGTGGAAGCCTGTTGGAGGCCCCTTGGGGCCCTCCTGGAGCTCTTGGGAGCCCCCGGGGTCCTCTCTTGCGGCCCTCTTGGGGCCCTCTTGGAGGGCCTTTCGGACCTCCTGGGGCCCTCTTGGACGCCACCCAGCAAAACGCGGGCGGCGTGAAGTCACACCGCCCCTCGGGAGCCCGGCGGGCAGCCCTGTTGAGGCCTTCGTCGGCAGCGCTCTTGGGGCGCTCCCTTGGGCGGGCTCTTGAGGAGCTGTAAGGGCCCTCTTCCAGCCTCCCCTCCTCCTCCTCCTCCCTCCTCCTTTACCTCCTCCTCCTCCTCCTCCCGTTCCTCTTCCTCCTTTTTTCTCCTCCTCCTCCTCCTCCTTCTCCTCCTCCTCCTCCTCCTCTGCCTGGCCCCTGGTGGGGCTCTCTTGGGCGATCATGGGACCATCTGAAGGATCGAGAGGCTCATCGGAATCGAAGCGGCGGGACGCAACATGACATTGAACACTGTTGGCGTTAAAAGTGATCGTGGCCTCTTGGAGGTCTCCTTGGGGGCGCTCCGTGGCCACTCTGCAGGTCGTCCTCGGGCCGTCCTGGGGCCTCCCAGAGGCACGCGGAAGGGCACCTTGAGCCGCCTGGCAGGCACCTCGCGCCCAACCCGCCGGTCCAGATCGCAAGGGGAGGGGGCGGGGAGAGGCGTCGATCTTCCCGCACGCCGCAAGCCGCTTCACTCTCTCACACCCGCCCTCCAGCCAAGGCTCGGCATGCTCAGTGGTCGCCAATTGGTCGGAGGAGGAACAGGTACCCATACCTCTACCCTCCGCCCGTTTTCCTATTTTTTGGGGCCTCCTGGGCATTTCTCGTCGCCACCGCTGGATTCGCCTCGAGATCCTGGTCAGAACGCGCCCCGGGAGACGTCCGGGGAGTAGCGGTATCGGTACCTTTTGGTTTCCCCAATTGGATGGACAGCCACTGGGGATCAGAGCAGACCAGGCGCGCGACACCTGTGAGTTGCGCCCCCTGTGCGCGCGCTTGCCGCGCGCGCCACGCGCACAGGGTTCACCAGGCGCCCCAGGGCGTCCAAGCGTGCAAGGCGCGCCTGGTGCGCCAGATGCGCCACGAGCTTCGAATGCGCCAGTGCACGTGACAGCGCACACTGGGAACCATGTCGGCCCCCCACATCCCTGTCAAAAGCAATTGCGAACATGCGGTAAGGTGGCCATCACGGTGTAGGACATGTGCAGCCGCAGTCGCTGTGCATTGCCTTTTGGCAGGGAGGGCGTGCCCGCACGCGCCAGATTGTACGAGCCTCCCCCCATCATCCCTGGCATCAATGCAGGGGGATCGCTCGGCGCCTGCGCGTCGCCCAAGTTTTTTGCAGCAAAGCGAACTTCGCGGTGCTTTCTGACAGGGACTGTGTGGGGGCGTCGGATTGGTTCCTGGTTTGTCTCCGGTCGGGTGGGGGAGGGGATGCCTATTGATAATGAGCAGAGGTCGACCTTTCTTCAAGGGCAAAAAGGCGGTTGGACATGTAAGCGCTCTAAGCCACCTGCGCCAAAAGGGCTGCTGGGACTCCAGGGAATTCCCTTTCTCCTCTCCTCACTCCTCCTCCTTACTTTTCCTCCTTTGTTTCATGGTATCACTGGAGTTCTAGATTCATCCATGCGGATTTGGGTTCCTGAAACGGTCCCGACCCTTCTAGTCTGAGCAACACTTCATCAGAGCTCCCCTCAAACCCCTCCTTCTCCCCTCCTCCCTTCCTTCCCCTCCCCTCCCCCGCCTCCCTCCCTCTTTCCTTCCCTCGTGGCCTTGCCTCCCTTCCTCCTCCTCCTCCTCCTCCTCCTCCTCCTCCCCTCCCCTCTGTGTCTCTGACTCGGTCAATTTTTTTTGTTTTTTCTCTCTCTCTCTCTCTGTGTTCTCTGTGTGTCTCTCTCTCTCTCTCTCTCTCTCTCTCTCTCTCTCTCTCTATATATATATATCCGTAAGGGCGTCGCCCCCTGCCGCCGGCCCCCTCTCTCGGATAATGGGCCATGGAAGAGCTAAGTCATGAGGCCTTGGCGCTGTCGTGAAGCAGTATCGAAACTTCATGCGAAGCCGAGTCGCAATCAGCAAAACCAACTGATCACAAGAGGGGTTACCACACCTGGCGATTGGTAAGACGTGTATGGTTTAAGGGCTTGGTTACCACACCTTGCGATTAAAGGGCCGAGGGAGTTCTCGCAGTTTGGGTTACCACGCCTTGCGATGGATGTGCGTGAAGGGTGGCACCGAATTTCAGAAATGTGGCAACTCCCCTGTGTTTTTGAACGGGTAACCTTAACCATACATAGAAAGTGGTTAACCATACATAAAACACACATAATACACTACACTAATACACTACGCTAATGCACTACGCTAATACACTACACTAATACACTACGCTAATACACTACGCTAGTACACTACGCTAATACACTACGCTAATACACTACACTAATACACTACGCTAATACACTACGCTCATACACTACACTGCGAAAGTCGCCAAGTCGCCGCGAATCCTGCGGAAATCTTGCGAAAATCGTCGGGCCGCGGATTGTACGAACATCCTACGAGCATCCCACGAAAATCCAAACGAAAATCATGCGACAATCTTTCGAAAATCAGCGGATCCTACGAACCAAGAACCAATAACAAAAAATCCAAACGAAAACCGTATGAATATCCAGCGAAAATCGTCAGGCCGCCGCGGCTTCTCCGAAAATATTGCGGAAATCGTCGGGCCGCGGATCATGCAAACATCCTACGAAAATCCCACGAAAATCCAAACGAAGATCTTGCGAACATCTTGCGAAAATCAGCAGATCCTACGAACCAATAAAATTCCCAGCGAAAATATTAGGGAGATCTGCGAAAATCGCCGGGCCGTCGCGGCTCCTACGAACCGCGGACCTTGCGAAAATCCTACGAAAATCCTGCGAGTACCGCCGCAATGCGCAACCGCACGGTGCCAATGCAATCTCCATTCGCTCATACACCATACTAATACACTACGCTAATACACTACGCTAATACACTACGCTACTACACTACGCTAATACACTACGCTAATACACTACACTCCGAAATCGTCGGGCCGCCGCGAATCCTGCGGAAATCCTACGAAAATCGTCGGGCCGCGGATTGTAGGAACATCCTACGAGCATCCCACGAAAGTCCAATCGAAAATCAGGCGGAAAACATACGAAAATCCGCGGATCCCACGAACCAACAAAAATCTCAGCGAAAACAATCCCAACGAAAACCGTATGAAGATCTTACGAAAATCGTTCGGCCGCCGCGGCTTCTCCGAAAATCTTGCGAAAATCGTCGGGCCGCGGATCTTAGAAACATCATGCGGAAATCCAACGAAAATCCAAACGTGCGAACATCTTGCGGAAATCCGCAGATCCTACGAACCCGAGCAAAAACAGCGCCGGTTGGCAATGCGCAACCGCGCGTTGGCAATGCAATCTCCATACGCTACTACGCTGCATTAATAGACTACGCTAATACACTACGCTAATACACTAGGCTAATACACTACGCTAATACACTGCACTAATACACTGCGCTAATACACTACGCTAATACTTCAGCGTAGTGTATTAGCGTAGTGTACTAGCGTAGTGTATTAGCGTAGTGTATTATGGAAAATTATGCGTGGTCAAAGCGCACCCTCGTGTTTTTGGACCCTGACCCCGCGGATCTGCGTAAGGGGTGGCGCCGAATTTCAAAAAATTGCAAATCCCATGTGTTTTTGGACCCTGACCCCGCGGATCTGCGTGAGGGGTGGCACCGAATTTCAGAAATGTGGCAAATCCCATGTGTTTTTGGACCCTGACCCCGCGGATCTGCGTGAGGGGTGGCACCGAATTTCAGTAATGTGGCAAATCCCATGTGTTTTTGGACCCTGACCCCGCGGATCTGCGTGAGGGGTGGCACCGAATTTTAGAAATGTGGCAAATCTCTGTGTTTTTGGACCCTGACCCCGCGGATCTGCGTGAGGGGTGGCACCGAATTTCAGAAATGTGGCAAATCCCCAATGTTTTTGGACCCTGACCCCGCGGATCTGCTGTCGGTTTGGGCCTCCCACCCCTCGCGCGGTCAATCAAGTAGTTACAGTAACCAGCAAGAAGCAGAACTGTAACACTGGAAACTACAAGCTACAACTGGTACAGGAAACTGCGAACCTCGCGCC